CTTTATCTCAACCCATGAATTTTACTTTTTTTTTCCCTCCCCGAGTCTCTCCCCCATCCCACTGAGGGGGGGAGTGAGCGAACGGCTGTGTGCTGTTTAGCTGCCTGCCACATTAAACCGCAACAGGGGTGTGTCAATTTTGCATGATATTAAATACTGCTTTAATGTACTAATGTTCTTTTTCATATATGCCAGAGTTTCAAAACAAAACTATCTTTAATAAAACCAAATTTTTAGAGTTTGGAAGACGGGATAATTTTGATATTGTGATATTCTCTTTCAGTTTAGCATGAAAGCAAATACTCTGAGTCACAACCTTCACTGCCTATATGCTCTTACACACAGGAAAGTGCATATTAAAAAATCCTGCTTCTGCTGAAGGAGGTATCTAAATCATTCTGGGATGTATCCAATTTCTGATCTAACAGTATTGATGTTATTTGGATCTCAACTGGATCTTGCCTCTATTTTGGAAGAAATATTGACAGCTACTGAAGGGCAAGCAGCTTTTTTACTAAGTAGAAGACCCAGCCACAAACGGAATGAGAGATAAAACTATAGTAAAATATTAAAGGAAAGAAAAGATAGAAGGTTAATCTTAAATATATATATATATATATGCTTCAGGAGGAAACAGAAGGTAATTGTGCTTGTAAATCACACAAGCTAGCAAATGCCTTTGAATCTTCATCTGTAAACTTCAGTATCTACCACATAAGGTCTACGTTTATAGTAATTTGGTTTAGACCTCAGCTATGGAACTCCTGACATGGCTGCGTACTGGCAGGGATAACCAAAGCTGCAAAAGAAGGGCTGCCATTTCTTTAAGTCTGTCAATCTCTTTATGGAAGAGATGCTACTTTCATATGACTTTCTATACTACTTTCTATACATAAAGAATCATGCTACTTTCTATACATAAAGAAATCAACCTTAAGTTTTACTCACACACTGATATTAATAGTTAAATGAAGCCAGGCAGAAGACTCTGCGATCTAATTACTTCAGCTGAAAAAAGAATGTCATCTATGATAAAAACTAGATTACATGAATGAGCTTTTCCACTATGTGGATTTTTGGGGAGGGGTGGTGGTGCCCACGTGTGCGCTGCCAAAATTTAGAACATCTATTTCATACATTGCCGTACATTTATGCCTAAAAGTTTGGTCAGCAGTCTCTCTCAGTAAGACTGTAATTGTCATGAGCTGTCTTAAAGAACCCATTAATGCATTTCTTCAACTTTTTTATAGTTCTTATCACTTTTAGTAATTAAATTATCAATGCCACACCATCAAAGTTGTTTGCTTGGGTTTTTTTAATATATCACTGACAAAAACTGTGTTAAAATAGAATTAAGCTGAACTTCAAGAAAATGCTGGCATACTGTAACTGCAACACCACCAGCACTAGAAATCCAGCACTATACAACTGTATTGAAGACAGTGTGACAGCTGACATGCATTTGTTGTAAATGTCATTAAAGTTCATGGTTTTATTTATTAACATTATAGTTAATAAATATAGTTAGACAAATTATATGATAATCTGTGTAAGTAAACAAGCATGTAAATATTCAGAGCCCTCAGATTACACATGATTTATTTTTTCTGAAACACATCCTACCTTTCGGGTTTGCTTCTGTCTCACCCAAGAGCTCATTAAAGGGAAGAGCTAAGGCTCTGTGAATAACTCTATAGTTATGTCTTCTATGTTACTGCTAGGAAGTAGTAAGAATATATTCATAGTTATGAGAATGTTGTTTGCAAGAACAGATCAGTCAGGAACTGCAAAAGATTACAGAATTTTATTTGATTACCCACAAGCATAGATTAGAGATGTCAGTGAGGGGACTGGAGAATTGTGACCACCTCAGTAACCAAGGACACGAAAAGAAGCAGCCGGCACCGCAAAGGCACTATGTTCTTCCTCTACTATACTTCCTAAAATCTCTGAGCAGAAGGCTGCCTTAATGTGACCTCAAAAAAATTATTCTTAGATATTGAATGGAAATGTTGAACATTTTCCAACATCAGGGACAAAGTGCTCTCTACCTCATTCCGTCCTTTTGCTTCAAGCCAACCAGAACTCAGATTTTCAGATCATCTTATCAAGAGTCAGGGGCATATGTTATTTTGCATGCACTGTACCTTAAATAATATGTTCAGATCAGTTGTAATTACTGCTAAGGACACTGCTTAACTCAAGACAGAGCAGAAGGACATACAAAATACGTATTTTCTAATATATCGGAAAGCACGAACATATGCCCAGACAAAATCTACTGACATTAATCAATTAGTAAGCTCCTTTCAGAATGAGGGACACAGATTGTGCAAGGCTTGCATGCCTCTTTGGAGTCAGTTTCAAAGGTTTTGCAGGGAAGCAAAAGCTCATAACTTAAAAATTTTTCCAAAGAGAGTGTAAACACCACACTTTTCCAGAAGAGATCTAGTAACGGCTTCCTTGCTTGGCCAGTCTCAAAAAAGTATTTACATGCCATCTGCCTGTGCAACAAGTGGTATCAGTGAATGCCACTATCATCTGTTCTGCGCAAAAAGGGTGATACTGACTCCAGGCAGAGTCTGCTAGGCAGAGATGTGTTGTTTTAGCATCTGCTGGACACACACTGTCAACAGGAACTAGAAGGTGGTTTTTGAAAACGAACGTCACGATCTTGGGTCTAGCAGTTCATGGCAAGCGAGGATGCCAGAGGGAATAGGAATATTCATCATCACCTAAAACTGTCCTATGGATCACACAT